AACCTCCAACTCCTGGGCTTAGGTGATTCTCTTGCCTCAGCCTCCCGAGTAGCTGGGACTACAGGTGCCCACCACAATGCCTGGCTATTTTTTCTTGCAGTTTGGCAGGGACCAGATTTGAACCCTCCACTCTTGGTATATGGGGCTGACGCCCTACTCATTGAGCCACAGGCGCTGCTTGACCCCAGAGCCCTTGTTCTAGACTGATGGGTGGATAGATGAGGAGACAGGGAGGAACTAAAAAGAGAAGTCTATACTAGGGACCTTGAAACTCATGCGATGGGAAGACACTGGAAGGTTGTAAGCAGGAGAGACAGGTCTGGTTAGAGATTTATAAAGATTACCTTGACAGTGGGAAGATAGTTTAGAATGCAGGGGAGTCTAGCAACAGCCACAGCTAGCTATGGATGTTTATCTAAGAGTTGTCTTGGGCCACACGTTAAATACACAAACATTAATGAAAGCTAATGAACAAAAGAAGGTCCGTGCATAAATTTTATGATATCTGCCACCACACGTAAGCATTCATAGCAAGCCACAGGCCACATTTAGATACCCCTGGTAGAGCCAGTAACACCTGAGACGGGAGGCCATTTTTCTTCGAATCCCAATTCCCACTCGTGAGAAGCCTTGCTTCTTTTGGCATTGCATTATTTCAAGGGGATGCTGGAAGAAAATGCCGAAGAAGAGGGGACTCAGAGTTGGGAAGGGGCGACAAGTGGTAGAATATACTGCTAAGTTCTAAGGAGAGGCCTCTCTGTGCTGGGGAGCAGAGCATCAGGAAGGGAGGCGCTCACACAGTCTCCCATCGTTTCCAAGATGAGAAGTTCCCTTAAGCATTTCCAGCTCCAGAGCCCACACACTGCCCCATTGTGCACCTGCCACTCGCAGAACACAGCCAAAGGGGAGGCAGGTGTTGCATCAGAGTGTTAAGCCCTGGGATCAAGTGTTAGGGGGTGGCATTGGAAGAGGTCTGGTTTCTCCTCCTGTTATCATTGGCCTTTCCAGGCAGGAAGAGTCAGAGGAAACGGCCCAGAGGTCACATAAGCTGAAGGAAGGAAGCACGGTGTCTGGAAGGACCAGAGAACAGGGGGAGCTTTCCCTACCTACACTCAAGGAGCCAAAGGGTGGACCAGAGCCTGCTGGAGGAAGGCTTCTTGGGGCTACAAGGGGCTTCCAGAAGGTTCCAGGAGAGAGCAGCCTCACCATGCTGCCCTGCCTCACCCTGCTTCTCCTGACTGGGCTGGGGCTGTCCGTGTGCACTGCAGCAGGTGACAGTGGAGAAGAACAGACACTCGACCCTGAAGCAGAGTCCTGGGTAACCGTGACCTTGGAGGTATCTTTGGGAAGAGGCTCTGACCAGGGCAGGGGATGATCCATGGTGGAGCAGGCAGAAAATCCCCTCCATGGCTGCCAGGAGAGCAGGTTGCAAGGCAGCTTGTCTGACTCTCCTCATGAGTAGACTCAAAGCCATGAGCACTTGGGGTGCTCCAAAGGGGTGAATGCCCATGGGAGCAACAGTGTGTGTGTGTTTGTGTGTATGCATGTGTGCAAGTGTATACTATTTAAGAAATACTTATTTAACACATACTATGTTTCTGGCACTAACCTATATGCTATATATATGTGTGTGTGTTTTATATATATATATATATATTTTTTTTTTTTTTTGAGAGAGAGAGAGAGAGAGAGTCTCACTCTGTCACCAGGGCTAGAGTGCCCTGGCATCAGCCTAGCTCACTCAACCTCAAACTCCTGGGTTCAAGCGCTTCTCCTGCCTCAGCCTCTCAAATAGCTGAGACTATAAGCATCTGCCACAACAGCCGGCTATTTTTTTTCTATTTTTAGTAGAGATGGGGTCTTACTCTTGCCCAGGCTGTTCTCGAACTCCTGAGCTCAAGTGATTCTTCTGCTTCGACCTCCCAGAGTGCTAGTATTACAGGCATAAGCCATCACACCTAGCTCCCATATGCTTTACAAACATTAACTCATTCAATCCTCACATTAGCCTCATGGGAGCCTCACATATAAGGGAACTGAGGCACAGAGCAGTCAAGTAGTTTGTGCAAGGTTGCACAGCTTCAAAAGCACGTCTAAACACCTAGACCAAGGTCTGCCTCTGTGTACCTGTGCATCAGAGATTTTCCAGAATCTCCTTTCAAGGAGATCAACTTGGGATACAATTACTATTTGTCTCACAAGCAGAAACTCTTCTACTTCCTGACAAATAGTGATTTCTTTTTTTGAGACAGTCTGAAACTGTCACCCTGGGTAGAGTGCAGTGGCATCATAGCTCGCAGCAACCTCCAACTCGAGTTCAAGCAATCCTCTTGCCTCAGTTTTTCTATTTTATAGTAGAGATGGGGGTCTTGCTTTTGCTCAGGCTGGTCTCGAACTTATGAGCACAAGCAATCCACCCATCTCAGCCTCCCAGTGTGTTAGGATTATGAGTGTGAGCCACCACGCCCGACCAACAAATAGTGATTTCATTGTGGTCTCTTTTACTAAACTGACCTGAATGCTGTTACTAGGACAAGACTTAAAAGTTGAAGACCTAGCATCTGCACTATGCCTACCCCTGCCCAGCAATCTGATCTAGGAGACAAAGATCCTGACCTCAGGGATTTCCTAATCAGATAGGGGAGAGAGGCCCACAGACCAGAGATGAATACAAGTAAATAAGTGCCCAGAGAGGGCTTCTGGAAATACATATAGGACAGGCTGAGCCTGGCTCCTCCCTTTCCCCTCGATGGTGAGGACACTGGGGCTGGCCGTGGCTTGTGGTCCTAGGCCATCCATGGTGAGGTCCCTGGAACCTCTTAGACATGGGGCCACAGAAAGGGCCATCACATGGACAGCCCTGGTGGGTAGGTCTCCATTCTGCTTTGTCTGAATGTGGAAGTGTGTGCAGTAAGGAGACGGCAGCAGGACTGGGCACCAGGATTCATGTCTCAGCTTCTCCACTGACTCTTGCTGCTTTCCAGATATGAGTTTCCTCACCTGTAAAATGGGGAAAGAGAAGATGATCCCCAAGGTTTTTCTCCAACTTTGACATGCTCTGCAGAGTTAGTGACAGAAGTCAGGGGGCCCGGGAGCTTTCTATGCAGCCACTTGGGAAACATCATCATAAACTTGAACTAATGCTGCTGCACTTTCTACCCAAGGACAGCTCATCCTGCAGTTGGGTCTAATCCTTATTCTTCTTTAACTCTCCTTTAATATCCCTCTGCTTCCCAAGATATAGGGCTTGGAACCTGGGAGGAGAGACTGGGTTGGAAGTCAGGAAGAAACACTGTGGGATTTACAAACACTGTGGGATGCTAAGCATTAATACAAATGCACTGTCAGGGATGATCTGATCACCTCCCTGGTTCTCAGGGCTCCCCTGCCTGCAGTCATTCCTGGAGCTGGGGGTTGAATGGATATGAGCTGCAGGTGAGGGCACAAGCACTTCTGGAATGAAAGGAACAGATGTCTCTGAATCCTACCCCCACTTCCCACCCCCTGTAGCCCCTAGGACCTGGTGCGTGGAAGAAGGGACAGTCCTATTTAATTCACAAACAGCTATTCTCTCCAGCTTGAGTTTGAAGGCTACCTTTTACCAAGGCAAAGTGGTTTGCAGGAGCTTTTCAGAAATGGGTCCAAATCTCCAAAGGGACTTTTCCTGGCCAGGTTGGGCAACTCCAGCTGCCCCAGCCACTGACATTGGGGATGGTGGGAAGAAGGAATGGAAGTGACTGAATTAGTCTAAAATTTAGAAAAAATTTATTCTGGGCTTGGCACCTGCAGCTCAGCGGCTAGGACTCTGGCCATATACACAGGGGCTGGAGGGTTCAAACCCAGGCCAGGCCTGCAAAACATTAATGACAACAACAACAAAATAGCCAGGTGTTGTAGCTGGCACCTGTTGTGCCAGCTACTTGGGTGACTGAGGCAAGAGAATCGCTTAAGCCCAAGAGTTGGAGGTTGCTGTGAGCTGTAACACTACAGCACTCTACCAAGGGTGACATAAGACTCTGTCTCAAAAAAAAAAAAAAAAAATTCATTCCGATCTGGAAAGTGGGACAAGACAAGTTGTGAGCAGCAGAGTGGTTTCCATTGCCCCCAGCCAGGTCCCTGCTAGTTTCAGAAGCTCCAGTGCTACTCCTGGGGGAATTGGGGATGGAATAAAGAGCCCCTGCTGGTGAACCCAAGCTGCCACTCATGGCACTCCAGAGCTCTGGTTGCCTATCTCAGCCTTCAGGGAAAAGGAGATTCCACCCCTATACCTGGACTGTCAGAAAAGGACACTTCATTCGGCATCCTATGTCCCACACATGGGTAGGGCTCCTGTGTATGCCAGGCTCTGCTCCAAGTACTGGGGGTTGAAAGATGTGAAGACAGTCTAATGAATGTCACCCACTGTCACTCTCTCAACTAGGAAGCATCTTTCCCTCTCAGCAGAGCTGGGCAGGCCCCTCTCCCAGAGTTCTGATTAAAGTCTGAGAGGAAGAAGGCTGTGGCCAGGGTCACAGAGGCTGATGGAGAAATGAGAAGCTCCAGCAGCTCAAGGATTAAAATGTCTTTGCCAAGGGCAGCAGCCTCCACCGCAGATCATATGCCATGTTCCTCCCAGGAGGTTCAGGCTATAAAGCAGGGTAAATCTGAGGCAATGGGGAGAGGAGAGTGAGAGCTAGAGCTAGAGCAGGGACGGAAAGTCTCTGGGGTCCACCCTGCGTTCACTATCTGCCCCCTCCTTATCTATGTGGGAGACATTTCCCAAGATGGAGCAAAACCCACACTCTAGATCAGACTTTGAATCCTGGTCCAAACACTTCCTGTGTGACCTTGGGCAAGTCACTTGACCTCCTCACATCTCAGTTTCTCTATCTGTAAAATGGGGGTAAAAACCAGAGTCCCTACTTCCTCTGGTGACCGTGAATATGAAATGAGGGTATGACTGTAGTGTTTGAGAACCAAGCCTTTGGACCCAAGATGGCCTGGGTTCAAGTTCTGACTCTATCTCACCAGAACTGGGTGACCTTGGACAGCTTTAATCTCTCTGTGACTCAGTGTTTTCACGTGCAAGATGGTAACAGTAAAAGTTATTTTCATGGGTTTTTTGTTTATTTGTTTTTTGTCACCCTTGATAGAGTGCTGTGGCTTTATAGCTCACAGCAACCTCAAACTCCTGGGCTCAAGCAATCCTCCTGACTCAGCCTTCCTAGTAGCTGGGATTACAGGCATCACCACAATGCCTAGCTATTTTTAAAGACAGGGTCTCACTCTGGTCAGGCTGGTCTCAAACTCCCGAGCTCAGGCGATCCAGTCTCGGCCTCCCACAGTGCTAGGATTACAGGTGTGAGCCACTGCACCCTGCTCTTTTATGGGGTTTTGGTGGGGGTGAAATGAATTGTTGTATTGAAGTGCTCCAAACAGTGTCAGGAACATAGTAGGTGAAATGTTAGCTGTTAATTATTATAATGCACAGTATTGCATAAAATTCACCAAAAGACCAAGTGTTTGCTGACTCCAAGCTGTCGAACTGTCGTCATTGAGATTGTCATTGCCCTTCCCCTCTCCTCAACAACCTCCCCCAACTCTCACCCTCTGCTCCTTCAGGAAAGCCCTGTGCTCCGTGTTGACCTCCAGCTGCAGAATGTGAAGAGGGGCAAGGCGAACCAGTTCTTTGGGCTGATGGGGAAGCGGATAGGAGGTGAGTGACACAGGTAGGCAGGAGCCCATCAGGCAGGGACCTGAGTTAAAGCCCAGGACCTGGGGTCAGGTACTTCAGTCCAGTTGTGGCAGGCTGAGATGGGGTGTGGCAGGCTGTTCATGTGAATTATCATCTCACCAGGACATTTTGGAGAGTGTCCAAAGGTGTGAATAAACCAGGCTGTCTGATGCATATGGGGAGTGTGATCACCTGAAGGGTGGGAGCGAATTCTTTGCCCCCTGGCTGGTGCCTTCACCTTCCATACTCTGGATGGCCTTGAGGAGTGGCAGTGAAGCTAGAGACCAGCATCTATGTGTGAACACAAGCCATGCTTTCTAATCAATTCTGTTAGGCTCAAACAAAATTACTTAAGATGAATCTATGTTTCCTGAGGGCACTTTCAACTCAAGAGTCCTGTCCTGAGGAGACCAGGAGAAAATAGTCAAGGCAGAGAGCAGTTTTTAACTTTTTATTATATTTTTTGGAAAGGGCCAGATGGTGTGGCTCACAACTGTAACCCCAGCATTCTAGGAGACTGAGGTGGGTGGATTGTTTGACCTCAGGAGTTTGAGACCAGCCTGAGCAAGAACAAGACCCATCTCTAAAAAAATATAGTCAGACGTTGTGGCAGGCACCTATAGCCCCAGCTACTTGAGAGGCTGAGACAAGAGGATCACTTAAGCCCAAGAGTTTGAGGTTGCTGTGAACTATGATGCCACAGCACTCTACCAAGGGCGACAAGGTAAGACTCTGTCTCAAAAAAAAAAAAATTTTTTTTTTAAGTGGCATCACTGTTCATTTGGAGGACACACTGGCAATATCCATCAAAGTTGGAAACACTCCTGCCTTTCAATCCATATTCTCACTTTGGGGACTCGCTCAAGTAGGTGGGCATTTGAGCCCTGAGATGTTTGTAGGTAACTGCAGTCCTAGCTGTTTGGGAGGCTGAGGTAAGAAGATTACTGTGAGCTATGATGCCATGGCACTGTACCCAGGGCAACAAAGTGAGACTCTGTCTCAAAAAAGAAACAAAAGAAAAAAAACCAGAAAGACTATCAATTGGGTAAGGGTAAAATGTATTAGGCACATCCATAACCTTTGCAGTGATTAAAAAGGATGAGACAGAGCTGTGGAAAGTATGGAAAGATTTTCAAGATATATGCTTAAGTGGAAAAAGTGAGTTATAGAACACTATGCATGGTAGGAGCCCGCATGTTTATTTTTAAAACTGCATACTTACATAAATATGCAAATGCACAGGGAAAGTTCTAGAAGGATCAATATCAAATTGTAAACAGTGGTTACATGTAGGACAGGAAGTGGAGAGGAGGTGGAGAAAGTGAGAAGAGACTTGAAATTTTACTGTACAACCGTCTTCGTTGCTTGAATTGTTTTTATAGCAGGCGTGTATGCAAAGACCGGTTTTTGTAATAAAAAACATACACAGGCTCGGCGCC